GCGCTCGGCAGCTCATCGGTAGAAGCGGAAGCAGAGATCGAGGTGGTTTATCGATCCTACTCTAAGTATATTAAGCAAAATAATCTACCGGGCGAGATTGTTGTCAAGTTTCTCCGAAGGCAGGTGAGAGATGATATTCTCAGAGCGACAGCAGTCAATCCCCTGCAGCTGGGAGCAACAACTATCAGGGTCCTAAAGGACACCCCATTTGAGATTCGATAGAAGAGAAAAGCCTACAAGGAACTTGTTTCAACCCTCCAGATCAACCAGATTCCGTATTCCTGGATTTTCCCCGAGGGTGTGGTGTTTAAATATAAAGACAAAAGGGAGAAAATTGACTCGGTTTTTAAAGCGGAAGAATGGTTGAAGCAGTTTCATGGATCGAAAAGGGAAGAACAGCCAGATGGAGGGGGCCAAGCAGACACTCTGGAAGAGATGGACGGAGACCCAGGAGGCAGAGATGCATATGATTTGCGGCTAAGGGGACCCAAGTAACTCTTTGGAAGTTAAAGACCCGCAATGGAAGAAGATGAAAGAGACTTTGTGCACATCAAAAAAAGAAAATAGACAATTACTAAAACGGACTCACTAACTCTTGAATTCATTGACTTAAACGAAAAGTTATTATTTTTATGACTAACTGAATACTAACTGTTAATGACCTTCCTTTCTTGGGTTTTTAGTCATAGTGTGGGCTCTTTTATTTGCTGTCTCATACCCCAGGGTTTTTTATTTTTTTCCCCTTCCCATCTCTATTTTCTGTAGTTCTGTAGGTGTAACAAAAATAAATAAAGCTATCCTGTTTTCAGGGGATTAAAAAAAAAAGAATTACTGTACATGCATATTAATTATCATGTTATGGAGTCAGTGTGTAAAAAAAATGACATGAATCTTCTCCTTTCTTCCAAAGCACTTTAAAATGCAGAAATGGTGATTTCTAACTTCAGGCTAATTTATGGGGAATAGCACACACAAGATTGCAAAAACCATCTGAAAAATATGCCTTGGAAAAAATGGAAGGCACTGTTTTACTGCTCTAATAACATTAATTCCATGAACAAGAGGGCATTAAAGATTTATACATCCATATTTATCTACTGACATCCACATTAACCTACTGAATAAATTCTCTAGGGTCATCTGTTTGATTTGAACAATGTCATATCTGAAGCATCAACATACATCTCTTCCCTCACTTTCGCATAACAAGGAGCCATAAGTGACAACAGGCTGTCGATAAGTATTTGTGGTTAAATAGACATAAATCTGTAATACGACAATGTACACTGATACTAGTATTTGAAGCAGTATATACCTCAGTACAGAGAACTGACTGTAATAGAAGGATCCAGAGGCAGGATTTTTGTTAACCTGTGATAATTTAGTTTATAAGTTACAGTATATTGGCAAGGCCTTCAGATAAATGCTGTGCAGGAATAATTACTACAGAAACAAGTATCAATTTTGTCAGTTGCATTTTATAAACAGTTTTTATTATAGAAGCACAAAGATTCTGAATCAGAGACGGGAACTTTATCCTAGTATTACATCTCCCCCTGTTGGATGAAGTAATAATTAAGCATATTAACACAGAAAAATTGAGGAAGTAGTACAAAACCTTTCTTTTGTGTCCTTGTTTAATCTGTGTTTGTGAAAAGGAAGAGGGCCTTTTAGTACCAGTTTTTGAGGCTGATTGATGAACTAGCTGTCTAGGTGCTGTGGAAATGACAGAAACCTGACTTCCCAAAGTTAGGTGAGGCTTGTATGCAAAACTTCCCTTCTGGGCTTCAGACTGGGCAACCTTGAGAAGATCTATTTTTGTGTCAGGAGTTCCTTGTGCCAAACCAAAGTCAACCAGGGCGTATCTAAAACACAATTTAGGAAAGATATAACAATAAAAAAGTAAAATTTATACTTCAAGTGCATTTATACTTCAAGTGCATTTATATTAACACTTTTATTAATAACATTTAGATTAACATGGATATGATATCCTTCTCTTGGGTTTTTAGTGTAGTGTGGTTATCTATCCTTTATCCTTAGATGTTAGCCCCCTCCCTTATATTTTCTTTGCAGTTTTGTAGTCTTATAAAAAATAATAAAAATATCCCTCCAGGGATGCAAAAAAAAAAAAAAAAAGGGATTTTGGTTATTATATATCAGAATAATCCCTGCCACAAACACTAGCTGTTCCTGATGGCCCCTCATGTACTTTAACACCTGTCTCTAAGACAGAAATGAAGGCTGTATGTCTGACTGTGCTATAGCCTGTATGCCAAATACATACATTTAATTTTAAACAGCATCCTTTTAGCCATCTTTGTGAAAATGAGGGAGATTTATCATATCAAAATAGAACCTTTATAATATCACGTGCAATAAGTTTCAGATGGGATAATACGAGGGATCTTAAAGGGAATTTCTGCTTCTCTCTGGACAAATGCTGAAGGAGACAAAATACTGAAGAACAGCAGGAAGTGGTCATCTTTCTACACAGACTGTGGAATACTGAGCTGACTGTTTCCTGCCAACTAGAATGGGGAGTACATCATTTGGTCTGACGTCTTACAATAACGTATTAATTTAGAGACAATTTATATATTTGGTTGTAGGCAATGACTCAGAGCTGCTGTTGCCAAATAAATGTGGCAGCGGAGGGGGGGGGGGTTTGCAGCAGGGAAACCAGGGTGGAGGTAGAGAAGGTTAACCTCCTACTTTTTTCCTCCTGCAACCCCTTCCCCTCTGGCTGTAGCATGTATGGATTTTGAAAAAGAGTAGGATGCAGGATGTGGTAAGCAATGAAAGGGTTAAACACTTCTTTCTCCTGCTTGTTGAAATCATGTCATCCTCTGCTTATTTGCAGCTGTTTGGCAGCAGTTCATAGTCCAGCATCTGCCACTAAACACTCAGGGCGGCCTTAGCTTTGCATGTGCTGCTAGAGCAGGGAAGTAGCTAAGTTTACTAAGTTTCCCATATGAGACACATATTCCCCCATATGAGAATATACCACAGTCAAAATGGGTAGACTTACTCTTTCCGTTGTCTGTTATATAGGAAGTTACTGGGTTTGATGTCCCGGTGAACAATACCAAAATGATGAATGCGCCTCAGTGCTTTAATGAGGTTGAACATATAACCTTTTACTTCTTCAAAAGAGAGAGAGTTCAAGATATCCTGAAAGAACAGTAAAATAAATAACTGGACAATGAATTGTAGTTTTAATTCTTGTAACTGTTGTGTTTTTTTAACTTTGTTTTAATCTCAATTTTACAAAGGTACAGCAATATCAAGCAATGCCAATGCAAGTTTTGGTATCAAATAACAAAACAACCCCCAAAAAACAAAATGACACCCCTGCCAAAATACAATAGTCAAATAGTGCTAGAACCAATACAGCTTTAAATTGATGGAATGTCACAAACCATTACCAAGATGTTTTAATGCATACATAGTTATTTGATCCATAGTATTTATGAGAAGCTTTTGCCTACAAGTTACAGTTTCCCGAATTACAGAGTACACATCAGAGGGACGTAAGATAATACGACCAGTCATAAACCAGTAGATTTAACTGCTCTAAAAATAAGTTTGAAACTCACCAAAAAGGATTCATGTTCCAGATAAGGCATAATAATAACCACATGATCATTTTTTCTAATGCAATATTTAACTCCCATGACGTTATCCTGTCCCCTAAAAGAGTGGTGGTGGGGGAAATACACAAAAAAAATTATTTCCCACATATAGAGTCCACGTTGTCAACATTTGAGAGCATAATGATTTCCCCATACTCCTGTGTTATGTCCAAGAAAAGTGTTTACATACTAATAGTGGCTTAGCACTGACATGGACTTGGATCCTTCCTGTCTTTATTGGATGACATTCTTCTGGCGCAAGGAGACTCCTGCTGACACCAGAAGCTCTACCACAGCAGAGGAGGCTCTTGAAGTGGCAGGACATTCCTTGCATCAATGGAATGGACTGGCAGAACTAACTCACACAAAGAGCTCAAGCAGGAAAAACTATGCAAAAATTATGCAGAATGTTAATTACTTTGGCACAGAAGATTTTAGTGTATAGTACATACAGGTTTTCCAGTACACATTATCAACATACTGCACTGTAAAACATTACCTCATGAATCGTGTTTTGATCTACTATGCATCTACTATGCATGTGTCTTACCATGCCATTCGCACTTCATTAAAATGTTAAATCAGAATACAGCTGTACTCTCCCACTAAGCTGATCTGACTGTACAATGTATAATAGAAACTGGGATGTAAGTGGTACCTTTAACATAATACATCAGAACAATTCCTAACTAGACCTGCTATGCTTCTTAGGAAAGTTGACTTTTGCATAAAATAAAAAAATAATTTTTTAAAAAAATTAAAATTAAGACTTTTAGACCTACCCAGCTACTATAAGACACTGAAGTTCAGCAGCAATTCGTAAAGGGTGACTAGTAGGGACCAGGTGTTTCAAAGCCACTTTTTCTTCACGGCCTCCTCGTAATTGGGCTATGGCCAAGTAAACAGAACTAAACGTACCTGTAATAGGTAAGCTTATTTAATACACATTTAACATTCTCCAGTTTAAAAGACATAGATAACTTTATATTTCTATAAAGCACTTCTGTTTCAATAGTGTCAGTTATAAAGTTAAGAGTCACAAACATAATCAGGAAAGCAATGTTATTTAATTCCAGTATTATTTGATCATGAAAGCAGATGAACAGTTACCCTATTTCCATAAAAGACAGCTTAATCTATATTTGCTAGGAATATCAAAGCAACTACATTTACCTTCACCAATTTTCCCCTTAATTTTGAACATACTTCCAAGCTGTGGCACTGCTTGATAAAGCTTTTCAATATCTGTACTTGCTCCTGTTAAGACAAGATTTTGTGCACTGTAGGTTATCACAGAGAATACTTTGAAAATATCCACGTGAGATAAATAGTGGAATTTAAATATTAGCATACAAACTCCTCTAGTTTGCCTGCTCCGACGGGGAGGGCGGGGTATAAACTGAACGAATGAATGAATGTATGATCTTAAACAATCCACACCAATTAAAGTTTGTAATCCTCATACCCCTAAAAGTCAACAATAATCATTACAACAGACATGTGTATTCCATTAGAACTACTTGTTAAATAGAAACAAGCTGAGTGTGGCTGCTAAGGGGCTACCAGAAGACCAGCGTTTTTGAATTCAAAGCCTGGTTTCTAAGATTTTAAAGTTGCTGCTTTTCATGCTCCTGTCACTAGATGGCATGGCAAGGATGCTACATTGCCTGTTTTTTGCAAAACCAAGGCAACATAGGCAGGAGCCTTAGCTATGGTAGAAAATTATTCTCCATTACATGTCTAAAAATGCTTTGACAAGAGCCTGTTTGTTCTGAAACTTACAAAAAACAACAACCCTGTAACCAGATTCTATTAAGTGTTTCAATACCGTAATTTTACAAAGGACAGCTGTTGTCACCTCAGTAGGTTTTAACCAAGCATACAGGTGATATAAAGAACACTCGACAGTCAATCTGGGTCATAAACCTTTCATGTTCTCATCTGTACAAAAATCAAAACACACACACACAAACTTGGCAGTTGTGTATTGTTGCAGTTAACTAAGAGAGAGCCAGTTTGGTGTAGTGGTTAAGAGCGCGGACTCTAATGTGGGAGAACTGGGCTTGATTCCCCAGTTCTCCAAATGCAGCTGCAGGTGTGACCCTGGGTTAGTCATAAGTTCTTTCAGAGCTGCTCTCTCAAGGGCAATTCTTGAGAGAGCTCTCTCAGCCCCACCTACCTCACAGGGTGTTTGTTGTTGGGAGGGAAACGGATTGTAAACATCTCTGAGACGCCTTTGGGTAGTGAAGGGTGTGGTATAAATCCAATCTCTTCTTTTAAACCAAGGTACTAAAAAGTACTAAAAAACAATGCCCCCCACATACACAAAGGGAACACAATGGCATGCATCTAAGCTCAGCTATTCCTATTCTAAGGTCTAGAAAGTTGTAGTACATTGCCCTTTCCCACAACAAATATTTTTATAAGCTATAGCAAGCCTGCCTCACACCAAATAAAACCACAAACATTGCATCCCCAGCCACAGAACAATCTGCACACTTTCCCCAGCTGAATGTCTTCTAGGGCAGCTTACTCAGATGCCACAAGAGAGTATATAGTCTCAAGCAGCTCTGTGTGTATGTGTTTCACCCTTCCTTAGCCCATTCCAAACCACATCTATGCATGCAGTTCACACCTGGAAAATTGCAATTTAAAGTCAGAGGCCAGGATTCAAAGAACTCTAAAATTATTTCCATGAGCCCAAGACGACTTTTTGCTTGTGTTTTCCTAGCAACAGTGTCCATGCTATATGGTGGGGGGAAGCTTTTGAAACTGAAGCTAGTTTCAAAAGCATCTTGTGATAGTCAGCTGTTTAAAGGGGGGGGGGAAGCCAAAGATTCCAATGATCGACTGCTTCAAGTTTTGTAAGTTCAAGCAATTATCTAGATCTGAGCCACAGACTCTTATAAATACTTGGACCTCATCACTTTGACCTCTGTATCACTCTCATGTTGCTCTATTTGGAATTAGCTTAATTATAAGTAAGTAGGATTTGGGGGGGGGGGAATTAAGAGAATTAGCATGTACATTTAAAACAGTCTATCACTTTAAAGTCCAGTTTCCTCCACAGGCTTGTCTGTACTCTAGCATATAGTCATCCCTCAGCTCCAATCAAATTTATATGAATTGTATTAAAAGAATCTATTACCATTGCATGCCAGATTGTTGTGCTGAAGAAACCCAAGAAGACAAGAAAGGAAGCACTAATGAAAAGGGTAACATGGGCTGCGGTCACACGGAACATTAGCCATGCGAGTCAGACGGAAGACATGCGGGTTTTCGGGGCGCGATCTCACCGGCACATCTGGGAAGTGTAGCACTCCCGTGGCTCAAACGAGGCTTCCTGCCGAAACCATGCGGCAAAAAACTAGTACCTCCGAGGTACTAGTTTACGGAAACCGCGGGGCAAGGGCGGGCGTCTGATCGCGTTTCCGGTGGCATCCGGCGCCCGCCCATGTTCCCTGGCGAAAAAGTTTTTTTTCCCTTCAAGTCTTTGTGGATGCGCAAAAGCACACAACGGAGCATGCGCAGTCATGGTGTAAACAAAAATAAAACCTTCCAGTTTGCCGCACCGCGCACTTCGTTTTTGCGCGTGGGATTGTCCTGCGATCGGCACCTCTCCTTTCCCACGGAACCTCCACAGTACCTCCACGGGAGGTCTGATCAGGTAACCGCGCCTTAGTTTGCCCCGGGGCAAACTGCCACACTTCCCCCCCGCGGTTTCCTGCCCGTGTGACCGGGACCCTGGTATGTTAAATTCCAGGGAGATAGGTGTGTTGGTCTGCCACAACCAAAACAAAGAGCCTCGCATACATTGTACAGATTTTCATGAATTATAGCCTACCTGTCAGTTTCTTGTTGGGTTCATATTTCTTATGTGGATCTTCACAATGCAGGTGAAGTTCATCCTCATGAGCTGCTTCCATTGCAAAACTACCAAAAAGCCAACAAGAAGACTGTGAGAACAGTGAGTGACATGATCTTTTCAGGATTGATGGGCCATACTTTCCAGGGCCAGACAGTTTCAAGAGCGAAACCACAAGATAGTGAGGTAGATGACAAAAATGTCAGGGAAATGGTACAGTAATGCATTTATTTATTTAAATACATATACCCTGCCTTTCTTCTTGGCTCAAGGAAGCTTGCAAGTAATAATCAAAACATTATAAGATTAAAACCAAATAAAATAAAAATGCCCCAATACTTTCCTCCCCTCCTTAAAACATACCTACTACTGTTCATATCTCAACAAATGCCCTGGCAAACAAACAAGACTTGCAGTGCCTCCTGAATGAGGGGGGCTCCCATTACCTCTTCAGAGAGCCCATTCAATAGAGTGGGGGCTACAATGGAAAAAGCTCAAGCTCTGGTTGATACCAAATAACTAACTACAAAATACCTCTAGACCCAAATATACGAGTGCTTAACTTATGAGAGAAACAAGCCCACAAAATAAACAATAAAACTCTTGTCAAAAATCTGTGCAGCAGCTAGATTAACTATAGCTAAGTTTTGGAAAAGCTTTAAACTATTGATTTCTGACTGGATTGCTAAGATGTGTGACCTTTGTATACCAGATAAAATATCAGAGCCTTTAATGCAAAAAAACAAGGAATATCAGTCAAAATTTAGTTTTGGAATTTCTTTTTTTGAATATTTTTCACTACAAGAAGAATTTTCATTGAGTTTAGACACAATTATTGTAATATGATATTTGATTATTTTGTTTTTTTAATTTGAAATGTTAACGATGTCTGTAGTTTGGTGATATGTTAAAAATGTATATCTGATTATTACATTAAATAAAAGATTTTTTAAAAAAGCAAATGCCACTTTATCCAGGACAAGTGGATCCAATCCCATTCGAACATATTATGTATGTTACATAGCTTAATTTGGATGCATTGGAAAAGTCCCATATAGACCAATGAGTGTAACTCTAAGTAAGTGTTCAAAGGACTGCATCTTTAAAGTAATTTTTGCTGTATTGCAGAAAACATTAAAGATAATTGAACTTATTGAATGTAACAACATAAAGCAAATTGCTAGAATACACAAAGGGGCAGGTTATTGGAAATACAAAGTTCTAAATTATTTTGATTAGTATTTGGTAGATGCAGCCCGACTAGAACATCTAAATGTTGAGGGAGTAAAAGCTAGAATGGTTATCTGTAGTGGGGAAACAATCCCTGTTGTAAAACTGTTGTAAAATCAGCAGGTGGCACTTTCAGTTATTTTTAAGAACCATCACTTTGTAAGAAATTTGAAGTGAAGAATTTAAATCTCATAATATTTAAACTGTATTTTGTAAGAAAAAAATATGCAAGAAATTGTGTTATATATATCATCTAATAAAAACTATTTTAAAACAAATATAGAATTGAAGATATTATAAGGACTCTGTTATTCCACCTCTCCTTCCAATGCCCAAGAAATAATATTATTTATTTATTTATTTATTATTCACATTTTTATCCCGCCCTCCCCGGAGGCTCAGGGCGGCTGTTGTTTTAACTGTTGTAATAACTGTTGTTTACTTACTGTTGTCTTTTCATATTAATCTATTTTAACAATGTGGCTATATCTCAGACTAAAAAAGTTGTACAATAAGTGAGCTGACAAACGACTTATATTTGGTCAGCAATTAATACAAACTTTTAATGTTTTATGAAAATCTCTCCTAAATTTGACAACAGTTGCTCATTTTATCCAGAAAGGAGGGGGGGATTAGCTTTTGAGGATTTAGCAGTGCAATCCTATACAGTTACTCCAGTCTAAGCCCACTGACATCAGTGAGAGTAACTTTGCATAGAATTACACTAGGGTGAAACAACAAAGTTTTCTAATTTTAAATTGCATTAGACTCCACTAAAAACACTGAAACATAGAGCTGGAAGGGACCTCAAGGGTCATCCTAGTCCAACCCTCTGCACAATGCAGGAAATTCACAACAACCTCCCATCCACCCCATTCCCCCAATGACCCCTGCGCTATGCCTAAAGGAAGGCAAAAAACCTCCAGAACCCCTAACCAATCTGGCCTGGAGGAAAATTAATTCCTGACTCCAAAGTGAGGATCCACATCTTTTTTAAAAAGTGTCCAACTCCATGACCCTACTAAAGGACGGCACATAAAGTGTGCCAAATTTGGAAGTACCAGTACAGACCACATTCTTCTTAAAGGCACTTTTATAGGCACATTAGTACAATGAAAATCTGGTCTATTTGACAGTCTTGTATAAAATGCTAAGTACTGAATTTAGATATGACAAGTTACAAAATACAGGAATAGTTCGCTCTCCCTCTCCACACAAAAATTATTTCCAATGGTCACCCTTATTTTGCATATTTAATTGTATTTCAAATTCTTAGTAGATGCAACCCCTTATTAGAACAATATTTGCAAATACTCACTGCTTTCAGTACCCCCAGTAATACTGACAATCAGCACCTGCTCCTGAAAATGCAATCTATTTATTCTGAAGTATTAAACATCAGGGTAAAATGTTGTAAAAATCATCACACTTTAATAAAGATCACGATTAGGCCTAAGATTGTCTGTGATAATTAGAAATTGCTTATAGATATGTACCCTCACATCAAGGTGTTGTGATAGACAGAAGGCTGTCCCACCCCTGAACACTTGAGCCTATGGGAGTGCTGCTCCAGCATCCAAACACTTTTGGGAAGGGGGATTGAATGTTGAGGGGGGGGGGCTCAGCAGCAGTTCAGTTCAACTTCAGGGAGAGAGCAGTGAGAACTCAGGTCTGGCTCAGGAAAAGAGCAGAGTGAAGGGTAGCTCTGCTTGGTAGTGCGGCAGAGAGGTTTGGCTCTACTTCCGACAGAGAGTAGAGTACCCAATTGTTAGGCCTGGCTCTGGTAATGAGCAGATCTTGTACCATTTAGTCTGACTCTTGGAAAAGGCAGGTTGGTGTGGGTGGAATCCTGGGTGTGTGTGAGAGGATCCAACCTAGTGTCTAATCGGTAAAAGCTTGCTTATGCTTGGAAGTATTAAAGTAAATAGAAATGAACTCTCTAAGTCGATGTGCCTCAGCCAGGTTTCTCTTTTATCTATCTGGAGACCTGTGCTGCTGATCTGTTCCTTGAAACCTACTTGTAAATAAATAACTCTTTGTTGTTCATACATAATTCCTGCCTCTGTGACCTCCATATTCTACTTAGTAACTTTACAGCAGCAAACTCAAAGCCTAGACACTTGCTACCTTTAGAACACTTGGTATCTGAGGGTAAGGATTATACCTTAAAACAAAACTGGTTCCTCCAAAATCATAGGAGGCCATGTGGGTCCCCTCAGTTGATAAAAACGGCCTGTCACAGTATTCAGATTATGCATTCCGTATTGTATGTTCTCTACTTTCTCTGATCTAAGAAAAATACCCTCAATGGTATAAGTAACTGTATAAATAATTGCTGTGGGCCAGCTTTCGATCGTTTACCCTCTCCCAGCTAAGAAACTGCTCCTCATTGCCCCCCCCCATCTTCTTCCAAGAGAGGAATCTCTCTTTGCCGAATCGAACTGTGTTAAGACAACCAGATTCTATCACAAGGGGGCATGCACAGAAAACCACATGAAATTTCGATGTGGAGTTTGTGTGCCAAACAGAGCCATATGGTTGTTATATACATAACATTCTCTCTCCCCAGTAGACATACACTTCTAGCATAAATGTTTGTGGCAGGTGGAGTAGGGGAGCATGTTCAATGCCCACAGTGAGGATACATGAAAAGGTATTCAATCCAAGACCTAGAGAACTGAAATCTATTTTATATTATTCTGGTTCTTTACCCAGGGTAAATTATTTAACAGAAAACGAAATTTTGAAGCAGGAGCAGGCAAGGAAAAAAAATAATTGAGACATCCCAGAGAACAAGGCATTTACTGTTTAAAGTAATCTGATGAACCTGAAAACAGCAGTCTGCCTAGCCAATTAACCCCTCTGACATGTACTAATTCCATATATTTTAGAGGACGTGTACTAACAGCACATGACATTGCTTAAGTACTTCTTGTACCAATGTACTCAATTCTCATGTTAATGAATAAGCAGACTTACACAAATACTATTAAAATACTGTTTGTGGAGAGTGGATACCTCAGAAAGCAGATAATGAAACAGAAATTTCTTCATCTTTCATTATATGGTCCATAGCCAAACCATTTCATTAGCGTTTGGGAAGTATCACTGTCCAGTTGCTATTTGGAAGATGTTGTGCAATGATTAGATGGACTCAGCTGAAACATTCATTGCCAAGTGATTGCATCACAAAGGACATTGTTATAATGGTAATGCTGAGATTAGGGACTGTTTCTCCCAACAGCCCCTGCCTCTGACCTCAGTTATCTTTTCTTGTGTGGTTGAGGCGAAAGGAAAGAAGGGAAAACACAAAGAACAGGTCTGAGAACTGCAGCCCAGGAGCAGGCTTGTGAGAACTGGAAGGTCATCAGTGAGGATTATAAAGGCTGGAGCATGAACATAACTACTATTAAGATTAAAGGTAGACTTTGATTAAAACTATGCTAGGAGAGCACTAGGAAGAAAGTCTAGTAGCACTCTTACTACTCAACTGGCAGCCACTAAAGGTCTACCTTTGAACCCAGTTACTATTTCCCATCTTTGTTGCATGAAGCTTTCCTTTTCCTCTCTCATTAAAGTACATGTTGCTGTTAGCCATGTGTTAGTGCATTTGCTGGAACCTACTAGGGATAATGTAGAAGTTGCTAGCCTTAGAGTACCTTCATTACTTGCTCGTCATATCTGTGAAGGAATGCTACTAATTTATATCAACATTACATCATTTTAACCGCTGTGGACACTTGGTGGAGTCCTCTAGTGGAGAGATGATCACATCACCCCAAAGATTACTCCAAATGAGTACTAAAAAAAAGTGTGCGCCTATTACAAACAGGTGATTATAATTATAGATGGACAGTTTCAACAAGGCTTGTACTGGCAAAGCTGTGTTGTAATTCATGGGTTATGCTGATTCAGTGATACTGGTTTCAGGATAATCAAGATTTGGTTCTACAGAGAGCTCAAGTTCTAATAAGGGATTTGGCGGGAAATGGAGGATATGAATGTAGTCCCTCCCCGCCCCTGGGCTACACTTCAATGTTGTTTCCTATGAACGGATTATTTCCAGTGGAACTAAACCAGTGTTACTAAACTATTAATTTTATTCCATTATGGGAATGTTAGCATTCCAGAATATTTCAGGGTTTTTTTCTTGTTACTTCTCACTGGGTGGTATCTCTGTGGTTTGTTTCCTAGCTTTCCACATAACTGCCCCTACTCTAAAGCATGCCTGTAGAAATGCATCGGCATCTTCTTTGGCACATTTAGGAAAGCAAGTAAAGCAGTGCTCATTTGCAGGGCTTAGTGCTGACTTGGGGATAAAGCTGTTAGAAACTGATTCCAGTTCTCCCTGGTGGATGTCTGTCATTGTGTTTAATGTTTGATATTGGACCATAAGTGAAGACATATTGTATTTATTATATTGGTTTAGTGTTATTGTTTTAATTATAGTTTTAAAAAGTTATTTGTAAGCCTTCCTGGGTTTTACAGAAAGATGGGATATAAATATTTTAAAATAATAAATAAATGCTAGATTGAAGAAGCCTTGATCTTGATAGCTCAGCCTAGCCCGATCTTGGAAGCTAAGCAGGGTTGGCCCTGATCAGTGTTTGGATGGGAGACCACCAAGGAAGTCCAGGGTTGCAATGCAGAGGCAGGCAATGGCAAACCACCTCTGAGCGTCTCTTGTCTTGAAAACCCTACAGGGTCACCATAAATCGGCTGCAACTTGACAGCAAAAGAAAAAAAAATTGAAGAAAGGAACAGAAGTTTCAATTAAGGTTAAATTAAAATTTGTTCCAATAGCTGGATTTTATTCCTGAAATTTTGATTAACCAGCTTCAACTTAGTCCACTGTAGGCTTGCACAGATTAATGCCCACAAGGCAATTTATTTTACCCATATTAGTCTAACATATAAATATGTATCGCAAAATTGTAAATGTTTAAAAAAATGTTAATAATCTAGCAGCCAGCTAATGAACTACAAGAAACTGTATGAAACATGTAACAAAACACACTGGATTACTTCTGGATAAGAAATGGAAATAACCAAGATATAAAAGTCACAATGAAACAGCATTAGAATTAAGAATAGTTTGCTTGTGTATTACACTGACACAGCTTCAGGACCAATTCTGCTATCTTTTGAACTATTTAGTAACTGCCGTTAAATTTGACTGTTTTTTTCATTTTCTGTTACTGGACAACTATACTCATCTATTTCAGCTCAAAATGTGGAAATCATACTTCCATGATCATTGTTTGAGCTCCATCAAGTCACTGGTCTGGAGAGAACATCTGGGGCTTGTCAGAGCAGGTTAACTTTACACAGTAGCTCCTTTTAGCAAGACTCCTGGTCAAATACAAGCTTTCCACTGCATTTAAACTGAAGGTTGCAAGCATAAATATTAAAGAGCCAAGCACAATCTACCCTAAACTTTGTCATTTAGTTTGTACATGATGTGAAACTATTTCTAAAATCACTGAACACAGTGCTGTCCAAACATATTGAATACTGTACTTTCTGTACCTTTTTCTCCTGTAAAATTCAAACTGTTGTCCTTATCATTAGCATAGTTTGTTTATTTTGGGCCATTAATCAAGAAGTCTATACAATACAGATTTACAAATCAGAATATATTCACAATTCAAAACAAGATTTCACAAATCTTGCAGGCCTCTGGCCAATCAAAAGCCAGTGAAGCTACCTGCTATGTAACTGCCAGATTTCCCTTTGCCAAAAGGAATATATCGGTTGTAGACCTGACCAGTATCCATGTTTTAACAAATTTGGTTATCCCTTTTACTTCAAGGCATATAATGCGATATCCTCAGAGTTATTACTTCCAAAAATACAAACTGCAAGCAGTCAGTGGAACAATTAATGCTACAGTCCTGTGCAATGTTACCTGGGAGTAAGTTCCATTAAACAAAGTAGGTTTTTCTTTTAAATAAACATTCACAGGATTGCACCATAAAACACTGGCAGTACAATCCTATGAAGCGTTATTCCAGTCAAAGTGGATGTAAGTTACATCTTTTTCTCACACACATAGTGTGAGGATCTGAGAGCCTCAGTTCCTCCCACTTTCCAAGAAATGAGTTAGTTGAAGGCCACCTGGCAGAAGAATCCCACTGATCCCCTCTATTCTATCATTCCAACTTGATTTGGGAAGAAAAGGAACAGATGAAAATTTCAGCATGTTCCACAACAGAACTCATTACATACATACAGGAGGTAGAGCAAGTTCTGAATGGAGAACCAAGTTCAAAAACTTGAAAAATGCTGAATTAATACACTGGGAGTAATTGACAACAAAGCTAGAACCATCAGAATCTTCAACAAGAGTATCCCTATTAAAGGTCTGCAATATACATGATAGAGGATGAGGAGGCTGAATAATCTGTACCACTCCAGGCTATAGATGGAGGATGTTTCCAATGCCCCCTCATCTAAACACTCTGCAAATGGAGAAAGTTAGTTACGCAGGCTTTCACATTCAGTGTATTTATATTTAGTAGATTTGTATCCTGCCCTTCCTCAAGACGGCATGAATCATTCACCCCATTTTATCCTCACGATGCTAGGAGATAGGTTAGGCTGGGGTAAATTAGGAAGTTTTGACAGAGTGGGGTTCTGAATTTGGCTCTAACAGGTATCTGAAAACATGAGCAGTGACTCACGAAAGCTCATACGCTGCCACATATTTTGTTAGTCTTTAAGGTCCAGCTCCTGCCAACCTAGCAGTTCAAAAGCAAGAAACTGCAAGTAGCTAAATAGGTACCACTTTGGTGGGAAGGTAACAGCGTTCCGTGTACTTTGGCGTTTAGTCATGTTTAGCCACATGACCACGGAAATGTCTTCGGACAGCGCTGGCTCTTCGGCTTGGAAACGGAGATGAGCACTGCAACCCTAGTCAGAGTCGACTGGCTTTCGAGCAAGGGAAACCTTTACCTTACTAAGGTGCTACTGGACTCTTGTTCTTTTCTACAGATCCTGTTCTGACAACACAACCACTAGACAAGCTTTCCACATGCACAAAATTATTCACGTTGGGGGGCTTTGAGCAATATAACACTTTACCTGCAATCTTGAGGTGGTGCAGCCCATTCTACCACCTCAGCAGTCAGCCACCTCATTTTGTTGCACGGGTACAACACTAGGTCTACAAGCCGAGGTTTCAGAATGGTAACTATGTTCGTCTGTTATAGCCAAAACAATGACAGAGTACCATGTCCCCTCTAGCAGCTGCAATCCAACGTACACTTCTAGCTGGGAACTGCCACTCTTTAAGTTAGCGGGACTTATTTAGGCGGCCTGGAGGACTTAAAAGCATACAAAGAACATAAAGCCTCCAGCTCTACTGTGTCTGGCGCACAGACGTCCCGTGAGAGTATTGCGCCTGCGGAAGGGGAAACAATGACTGAGGAGGTACCCCTCAGCAGCCCCAAGACAGCTTAGGCGGGACCCCATTAGGCTAAAGGCCAAAAATATAAACTACACTATTTTAGAGGTCATTAATTCGCAGGGTCGCCATAAATATTCGAAAGCGACTTGACCGCACTTAACACACACACACACACCCTTAGGAACTTCTGCCACTCGCCGTCCCTGGCTCCTTCCGGAAGCACTCGAAGAAAACTTGCCTCGCGAATTTGGCGGGAAACTCTCACAGACACCCACGCTTCCCTGGGCATCTGTAGAAAACAGAAGCAGAGCAGCAGAGGATTGTTCTGGAACTACCTGAGAAAGAAAAGGAGCCGTCGCTGTCTGAGGGGAATCTTCCTCACACGCGTTCGAGTCACCTCTCCGCCTCCAGATTCCGGTCTTTAGCTTGATGATGCCGCCTTCTGCGGACAATCCCTCGATAGCCAATCCCAGAGCCCGTTCGACGTAGTAGATGTACCCAATCCAGTAGACCCCTGAAGAAACAGCGCTTGCAATAGGCTGGTCCGAATCGCCGCTCACTTCCTCCCCGCGATCTATGCAAGAATGGGGAAAAGGCAGGGGAGTGAACAGTTGAGCCAAAATCTTGGGTTACAGTTTCCTCTTGCGAGCATGCTCGACACTAGGAGCGGAAGCGGCTTCTCTTTCTGTGAGCTGTTGGAGGTATTTTAGGTATACATTGCATGGGACGAAGAGCAGGAGGAGATATTTAGGCAATATTTCTCCAAACGTTTACGAAATGCTTTCTTAAGAATAGTATCCAACGGAAAAAGGTAAAAGTCGGATCTACATGGATCCTCATGAATTCATATGATTTTTACATTGAAACGAAATAAAACTACCATCATATTGCAGGCCATGTGTTAATCTATAGGGGGCACCACAAAAATCACCCATCCACAGATTCGTGGCACCACAACAGTGCAAACACATGATTCCAAAGCACGGATCCTCATGAATTCATATGATTTTTACGCTGAAACAAAATAAAACCACCATCATACTGCAGACAGCACTCCATGCCCCCACGAATTCATGGCACCAGAAAACTGCAAAAACATGGTTCCAAAGCATGGATCCTCAGGGTTTTTCAATTGGGTCACTCTAACAAGACCTAGGGGAGCCAGAATGACCTTTCGCCTAAGGCAGCCATAACTTTTTAAAGAGCCCCTAACAAGACCTGTCATGTATGGCTGCGAGAGTTGGACTATAAGGAAGGCCGAGCGCCGAAGAATAGATTCTTTTGAACTATGGTGCTGGAGAAGACTCTTGAGAGTCCCTTGGACTGCAAAAAGATCAAATCAGTCAATCCTAAAAGAAATCAACCCTGACTGTTCCCTGGAAGGCCAGATAATGAAACTAAAGCTCAAATACTTTGGCCACCAAATGAGAAGGGAGCACTCACTGGAGAAGACCCTGATGCTGGGAAAGATTGAAGGTCAAAGAAGACGGGGACGGCAAAGGATGAGATGGTTGGACAGTGTCAGCGACGCAACGAACATGAAATTGAGCCAACTTCAGAGGACAGCGGAAGACAGGAGGGCGTGGCGGGAGCTGGTCCATGGGGTCGCGAAGAGTCGGACTCGACTGTGCGACTGAACAACAACAACAACAAGACCTGGGGGAGCCAGAATGAGCTCTCGGCCATCACACGGCAGAGGTGGAATTTGCCCCTAGGACTCCAAGGCAACCACCCTGGGGCTCAGAGAGGCGGGGGAACGTTTCACGCCCTCCCCTCCGTTGCTGCTGCCATTAGCGCTGCTGCCGCCGTTGACAGCCATAAGTTTTTTAAGAGCCCCTAACAAGACCTGGGGGAGCCAGAATGACCTCTCACATGTGATGGCCAAGCGGCACACGCGAGAGGTGGAATTTGCCCCTAGGACTCCAAGGCCACCACCTCGGGGCTCAGAGAGGCGGGGGAAGGTTTCCCGCCCCTCCCCCCCGTTGCTGCTGCTGTTACCGCTTCAGAACCATATTGTGGCTTTATGGTGTTGCAACGAAGCCGTGGATCCATGTCTTTTGTGGTGCAACCTGTGCCCATGGACATGAGATGGGATTTGTTGGTGTGTTCATGGTGACCCAGCGCAAAAGCCTTGAGGATCCATGCGGATCCGTGCTTCAGAACGATGTTTGTGCAGCATGTTGCCAGGATGCCGTGGATCCATGAATTCTGTGGGGCAAGTAGTGGCTATGGACATGATATGGGATTTAATGGTATGTTTGGGTGTGCCAACACAAAAACCCCAAGAATCGATGAGGATCCATGCTCCAGAACCATGTTTTGTCTCCACGGTGTTGCCACGAAGCCATGAATCCATGACTTTTGTGGTGCAAGCTGTGCCCATGGACATGATATGTGATTTGATGGTGAGTACATGGTGATCCAACACAGAAACACTGAGGATCCGTGCTTTGGAACCATGTTTTTGCAGCATGGTGTTGCCATGAAGCCTGGGACCCCTTAATACTGTGGTGTAAGTAGTGGCCATGGCCATGGTATGGGATTTAATGGTATGTTTGGGGTGTCCCAACACAAAATCCCAAAGCATTCGTGAGGATCCATGCTCCAGAACCATATTTTGGCTTCATAGTGTCACCATGAAGCCGTGGACATGTGATTTCTGTGGTGCATTCTGTGGCCATGGAGAAGGTATGTGATTTAGTGGTGATGTTGGGGTGACCCAACGCAAAAACCTTAAGGATCCATGAGGATCCGTGCTTTGGAATCATGTTTTTGCAGCATGGAATTGCCATGAAGTCGTGGCAACATGAATTTTGTGGTGCAGGCTGTGGCCATGGACATGATATGGGATTTAATGGTATGTTTGGGATGTCCCGATACAAAAACCCCAATGATCCATAAAGATCCATGCTTTAGAATCATGTTTTTGCAGAATGGATTCACCACGAAACTGTGGATCTGTGATTTTTGTGGTGCAAGTTGTGGCCGTGGATGTGCTATGTGATTTGATGGTGTGTTTGGGGTGACCCAATTGAAAAACCCTGAGGATCCATGTTTTTGTGGAATGGTGTTGCCACGGAGCTGTGGACATATGATTTCTGTGGTGCATTCTGTGGCCATGGACAACGCATATTATTTGATAGTGATGTTGGGGTGACACAATGCAAAAATCATAAGGATCCATGAGGATCTGTGCTTCAGAACCATGTTTTTGTAGCATGCTGTTGCCACAGAGCTGTGGCACCGTGATTTCTGTGGTGCAGGCTGTGGCCATGGACATGATATGGGATTTAATGGTATATTTGGGATGTCCAAACATGAAAATCCCAAGAATCCATAAGGATCCGTGCTTTAGAATCATTTTTGCAGAATGTCACTCATTGGAAGGCCTCCCAGCTGACTAAGGTAAAGGAGTGGTATATGTGTCTGTGGGAATATATAATTTTTGACAAAATAGTGGATGTTAAGAGGTCAAATGAGTGTCCTATGTCTGAGTCAAACTTCCTGAATAAGTGGTATTGGAAAAACTTTTAAAGAATGTAGATTCCCCGTATTTCTTTAGCAATCATTGTTATTTCAAATTTATTTTGTTAATGTGACGGTTAAGGTTTGTATAAGGTAATATTGCCTTGTAGTATAGGTATTTCAGTTCTGTTGGTGGTGGTATTTTATTGATGTTCTGTTACTGTTTTGTCACTGGTTGATATTATTTTTGAGTATTTTTCTCAATAAAATTTTATTTTTAAAAAAGCAAACTTTGGGAACCCCCCTGGTTTGCAGAAAAATCTGAAATCTGTAGTATAATATTGCCTTGTAGTATAGGTAGTTCAGTTCTGTTGGTGGTGGTGTTTTATTGATGTTCTCTTACTGTTTTGTCACTGGTTGATATTATTTTTGAGTATTTTACTCAATAAAATTTTATTTTTAAAAAAACAAACTTTAGGTTCCCCTCCTGGGTTGCAGAAAAATCTGAAACCCGGGGGGTAAAAGAGGGGGGAGTTAAATCCCTCAAACAAAGGAGCATTTGTTTGTTTGTGTGCACAGCTCTGTTGGAGCCTAAGCCTCATGTGATACAGGTGATTAGGAGAAGGGCACAGGCAGGCAGATAGTTTCTACCTCTCTTTCTATCCTGCTTATACTAATTGCTGCCATTTACGTTTTGGCATTCAAAGTTGTCTGGCATCACATGGCTGGTTGGACAAATTAACCTGGAGAGGTAAAAATTAGGTATTCTGTCCTAGCTGTGTTCTCTAGTGATTCAGCCCAACCTGTTCATGTTTGCTTGGAAGTAAATGTAAGGTGATTGGAGGTTATTATTTTATAAATTTGCATAGGATTGCAGCCTTAGAATACTTAATATGAATTAATCTGGAAAATGGAGTAACGCTCCTACTGTTCTTCACTTGTCACAAGCCCTGTCTCTCAGTATCATTATATGTTTCAAGGCATCAATTGGTTCATGTCACAATACGGTTGGTGGTCATTGTTACTCATTCCCCAGTCCTGAAGACTATTTTTTCTAGTAAAGAGTGAGGCTGGGGTTACTTAAAGAATTATTTGGTTATAGCTAAGAATTCTTTGCTATAGGGTACTTCCTGTAGCATTGGCTCCTGCAGCTTTTGCCCCCTAGCTCCCTGGATGTTGTGTCCAGCTTTGAAAACAGACTGCTTATTAAAACAATGAAACAGAGACTAAATTTAGAAATATGTATTTCATTTACTTATTTTTCATTGCCTCTAGACTTAAACTGCCTGTTCCTGTTTATGTACCTAAGCATGTTTTAAGCAAAAAGTAAATTGATATTTTGCTTTAATGGAAAGATGAGAAAAAGAACCCTGAGATTATCTGCACATCCTCCAAGTGTTGAAGGATATACAGGGAGAGCGTAAGCCCTTCTAAGGCCATTGGCTTCAATTGATTTAGAAGCGTGCAACTTTGTTTTGGATTTGCGTTGAAAATGCCCAGTCTACAATATCACTACATGACTGCCTCTGGTGGTGATATCATGTTAATGCAATAGGACAAATTCTTTTTGTTTCAGAAGAAGAAGAAGAGAAGAGATTGGATTTATACCCCGCCCCTCACTTGGAGTCTCAGAGCGGCTTACAAACTCCTTTCCCTTCCCCTCCCCACAACAGACACCCTGTGAGGTAGGTGGGGCTGAGAGAGCTCTGACACAAACTGCTCTTTTTCAAGGACAGCTGTGCCAGAGCTTGTGACTGACCCAAGGTCACATCAGCAGGTGCAAGTGGAGGAGTGGGGAATCAAACCCGGTTCTCCCAGATTAGAGTCCACGCACTTAACCACTACACCAAACTGGCTCAGGTGGGTAGCTTAGTCTGTAGCAGACAGTAGAACAAAATTCCAGTCCAATAGCACCCTAAAGATCATCAAAAATTTCCA